TCTCTTCTCCGGATCACTGATTATCTTCATCTCTGTACGATAGTTTGGGGGCTTATTCTAGTGTTCTTATCATTATGTGCGCCACAAGTATTTGTTTCCCAATTTCCATGCCTCTGAGACGCGGGTCTATCTATTAATTTGTTTTGTTTCTTATTCTGTAAGATTTCTACACAACGTTAAGTAAGCCAAGAAAAGTTGATATGTCGTTAAATGCATCGATTTAAAATAGCTTTGCAAGCTTATTCTAATGTCGGTTTCATTATGGGCCCCACAATACTCTTCACAATTTCAGTACGTCTAGAGCACATACCTTATATTTTAACTAGCTCTTACCATTTCGCCGTACTTTTACACACGCACTACTCTATCATATATTTTTCAATATATTATATTTTTTGTTGTTCACAGTCATTAGCCATCGTTGCCTATCTTGGATCAACAGAGTCTTCTGGTTATTTGATGATATGTTTTTGCGTTCTGTTGATGAAGTTTAGAATTCTCTGACTGTATTCTTTGAAGAGAAGTAAGTCTCCCTTAATCCTCCGGGTAGATGACTGCAGACTCCAGAGACGGTGTGTATTACCGGGGGACCCAAACTTGATTGGTCACCCCGGGCAGTACTTTGTGACCCACGCTATCAACTTTTTTTAAACGTTTTTCTGCCGATAGTTATATACGTTACAACTTAAACTATAAAAACTGACTATTAAAATCATCAAAAATTGCCAAGAATTTTAACATCATTCTGGGTTCTTCTTCTTTTTTTTTGTCTAAATAAGTGACTTTATTTTGTCAAACTAAGTATCGGAAAAAACGCTATATAAAATTCACTATTCGTTATCCTTTATGTTGAATAGATTAAAATTATGCAACTTTTTAACAAGAAAAAGTTGATGTTCAAAATTGCGGCAAAACATTGTTGACTTATTTAAGATGGAATGATCTATTATGACATGTCTCTAATTTGCATGTAGATACATTGTATTTATTTAAATTGTTCCTAGTTGAATTGTTCACCTATATTGCATATGATACATTATTGTACAGAATTAGGTTACAACAAAATTTGTATTATACGAGGGTCATTCAATAAATACGGTGAATTTTTCGGTATAAGGACTTCTAATACAGATAGAAGCTTACTTTTTTTATTTATTTATTTATTTTTTTTTTACTTCTTTTTCACATGGATTTAATTTCTTTTGCAGATTAAAAAAAATAACTTTGAGAGTTTTGGCGATTAACAAAGATGGCCGACCAAGAAGCATGCTCCAGGATTGAACAACGGTCAGTTATCAAGTTTTTGGTTGCTGAAGGGTGCAAACCAGTTGAAATTCATAGGAGAATGTCAACTGTGTATGGTGCCACATGTTTCAGCCAAAAAAGTGTCTACAAGTGGGCTAAATTGTTTAAAGAAGGACGGAGCAGTGTTGAGGATGAAGACAGGCCTGTGAGGCCTACAGAAGTGAGGTCTCCTGAGGTGATCGAATCCGTCAATGACCTCATTCAGTCTGACAGAAGAACTACTGTGAACTACTGAGGCAGATCAAGAAAGACATAAAGAACAAACGCAGAGGTCATTAGTCAGAAGGAGTCATCTTGCATCATGACAACGCAAGGCCTCACACAGCAGCCCAAACGGTGCAGACCATCAACGAGCTGGGCTGGGAACTGCTCCCTCACCCCCCTTACAGCCCAGACCTTGCCCCCTTCAGACTTTCACCTGTTTGGTCCTTTGAAAGCGTTCACGAGAGGCACGAAGTTTAAAAGTGACGATGAAGTCAAAAGTGTTGTGAGCGACTGGCTGAGACATCAGTCCAAAGATTTTTACGCTGAGGGAATACGGAAGCTTCTGCACAGATGGGAAAAGTGTGTGAAAGTGCTGGAAGACTACGTTGAAAAATAAAAAAAGTAAGCTTTTATCTGTATTAGAAGTTCTTATACCGAAAAATTGACCTTATTTATTGAATGACCCTCGTATATGAATAATACCTTATGAAAATTGAGATGCAGTGTTGTGTGGTATCATAGATTCGGCTGGGTACGGGACCATGACATCGGCCCTGGCAGACTCCTCTGTAGACTAGACATATTTCTATCTTTATTCACTACATAAAGCGTTCTGCTTTTAACTTATTTATGAAATGAACCTATATCTTCTTATCTATTAAGATTGATTTTTTATCCTATTATATGCGACATTTTATAATCCAACAAGATTTGTATTTCATTAAATCAAACAACCTAACTTAAGCTAAAATGTTTGTATGACCCACTTCAAGATGTCCATTCCACTTGAAAATAACATGTTTTCTCCTCCGATCAGCTTAGCAGAAAATACGCAGACTCCATTCTTCACAGTGGGTCAAGCCTCCTTCAGTCAATGAATGATTTTAAACTCAAGTTTAAATCTAACCTATCTATCTTTAAACTCAAGTGTTAACTTGATTCATATCTACATTTTGGCTCAAATATAAACCGGACCTATGTCTGCTCATCTATTAATTATGGAAGGAAATATCAGACGTTGCTATCAAAAGAAAAAGAATATGCAGAGATCCGAATGTTGTGGGCTTAACAGGAAACCCGATGACCAAAAAGATGCTGAAGAAAAAGCAAGTAAAGAACAGGAAGATTCGAATTTTACACGTATTTTCAAAGATTTATTGATGTTTTCGATTACGATGTAACTTTTTCTGTAATGTTTTAAACAGTTTTTTATTATTACTTCATTGTGATTATTGCTGTATGAAAATTCTATTCAACATTCAATAAGCCAACAGGTTGTAATAATTAAATTAAATGAACATAACCTAACAATTTCGCATGATCGACTTCTGTCAAAATACAACAGGGTACTCAACTAGATTTCCGTCGAACCATTAATGGCTACACCACGTTGTGTTTCATTTTGTGTGTGTGTGTGTGTGTGGGTGTGTGTTTACCAAAAAAGCTAGGAATAGTCTGCTTCTTGCTTGAAAAATAAACGACGCGGCGAGAAATGATTACATGAACCCTGTTTCCAGTATATTTACTTGTTTATTTCAAGGAGGCACGGTGGAGTAATGGATAGCGGCTTGGATTGAAGAATCAGAGAACCGAGTTCGAATTCCAGTCGAATCCATTACATTCACTTACGTGCTAAAACGCTTGGGAAAGGTGTGAATCCTCTTCTTCTCCCTCCAGCTATGGGTAAATAGCTGGGTTCTATAGCCTTGGATGGCAACTGGTCTAGGAGAAGGAAAACTCTGAATTCATGGTCTAGGAGAAGGAAAACTCTGAATTCAAAACCTGCGGAGGGTGAATGGAGTCTCTCTGAGCCTTGGTTGGCAATCCATTTAGTGTTGGTGTCGCGATAAAAACACCCTTGATAGCCCTAGAATTCAGCTATTGACAAGATTATGAACTACACCAATCAAAGTATTGAAGATAGTGACTGAAAAGGTGTAGTGAGTTCAATCTCGGCTGAGGCCGCAAAAAAAAAAAAAATTTCAGGGCTTCACTGGGTCGAAAGGCAAAGTGAATCACGAGACAACTTCCACCATGTCAAATCAACAGACCATCACTTCCTCTTGACTCTTCCTCCTCCCAACTCTCTACTCTTATTAACATCACAAAGCGCGGCTAGTATCTCGAACGGGTAGCATCGGAACGACTCGGTGGGGGGGGGGAGTTTGTCTACGTGAACGGGCGGTCAAAAAATGACTATATCAATCCTAACTGTGAATGGTAATATATGAAAACCTATTATAACTCAGCGCGCATGTCAATCTTTGCCAACCAGCTTCATTCTGCATAATTTAACTCCGTTACCATAGTAACAATCGCGATACTTTTTGATCAAACCTTTTTAAAGAAATACATTTTTCATAAAACATAGTCCTCAGTTTTCCATAATTCTGAGATTAATTATTTTTTTTATATTCCACGCATTTTATATAGAAAGGATATGGAATAGGGAAAATACATAGAACCTTGAACAACTTAAACCAATATTACCACCTCTCTGTATTCAATATGAGTGAGGTAGAAAAAGAAAGCAGTTAGGTATACAATGGTAAATCAAGTTGCTACCGGCTTTTCTGCTCCAAATATTACCGGTATTATGAAGAAAAGCTTTCGTTGCATGGAATGCAATTTTGAGTTTTATGTTAAACCAGTCGTTGATCGTGAATCCCCACAATTTATGACATACAAAGAAAATGTCAATCATCTGGTGTAAAAACAAGCTGTAGAATAAAAAAATAAGAATCCAATCTGACTATCAGCAATTTATATAGTACTATCGATGCTACATTATGTAGAAAGCTTCCGTAGCATCGAACACTAGTTTGATTCCAGTGTGAAACCATATCTTTAACAGGAATCTGTACAATTTAATTTGACGGTTGAAGAAAATAGTGATCATCGATGTGAATGAATATAAAATAATGAATGGAATTAAAAATAACCACCGATTTCTATGATAAAAAATAATACAGGCGTTGCTACATTATGTAGACATCTCCCGTGTTATGAAATGTTCATTAATGTTGTGCCAAGCCACGTCCTGAACAGGGGTATGCACAATTTAATTTCACAGACGAAAATTGTCGATCAACTGGTGTGAATAAACGTTGAAAACGTAATTAAAAAAAATAAGAACTGAATCTGTTTGCGGTTTATAAAATCAAAATAGTACAAGTGTTGCTGCACTACGTAGAAAGCTCCCTTGGTATTAAATACATGTTTTAGTCTTGTGTCAAACGACGTCTCGACCATGAATACCAACAATTTAAATTGAATGAGGAAAAAATGTTAGCTTAAAAATATTGGCTTGAGCAAAAAATGCGGAATTAAATTAAAATATAAGTATATCGGCGATTTCTTACAACAAATTAGTAAGGGTGTTGCTACATTATGTAGAAAGCTTCCGTGGTATGGAATGTTCATTTAAGAGTCGTGGGTGACCACTTCTTGGTCACCAGTTTCAAATGACAAGTGGCTTATGGCTACATTACATTGGAACACCGTATTCCGTATGATCACCGAAATTAAGCAACGTCGGGCCTCGTCAGTACCTAGATGGGTGACCGTTTGAGAATACCAGGTGCTGTAAGCTTGGATGTGCGGTTGGCGTAATTGATTATGGCTAGGAATTGTTAATCGGAGTTCCATTTCCAGTTGGGTTCGTTATATTCACTTACGCGAAAATACCACCAGTGAAGGTATGAATCCACCTCTCCCCACAGCTATGGGTTAATTAGTAATTAGTAAGGCTTGTATCACTGAACCATTATTAGCTAAAAAAAATTCTTACAATCTAAAATATTATATGGCGTTCTGCTCGGTCTCACGTTGACTGCTGACCTGAGATGGAACAAATACATTGAGTCAATTGCTTCGTCCACCGCAAGGAAAGTTGGCTTCCTGTGCCGCGCCAGGAAATTTTTCTCCCCGGAATTGATCCTCCAGATCTACAAATCAACAATTCGCCCTTGCATGGAGTATTGCTGCCATATATGGTCTGGAGCCACTTCTGTTTTTGAGGGGGTTCTTGATAGATTCCAGAGGCGGATATGCAATATAATTGGCCCTCCTCTGGCATCTCGTCTACAATCGTTTTCTCACAGACGCGCCGTCGCCTCTCTCTCTCTCTCTCTCTCTCTCTCTCTCTCTCTCTCTCTCTCTCTCTGTTTTACAAATACTTTCATGGCAATTGCTCCGAGGAGCTGCATTCGCTGGTTCCCAGTTCATGAGTTCAAGCGTCCTACGAGGAGGCATCCCGCTCTCAACCCCTTCACTGTCGAAACTCCTAAATGTAGCCAGGGTCTTCTTGTCCAATAGCTTCATGTCGTTGTTCCTCTTTAAGCCTGTGGAACTCCTTCCCTATTCTAGTTTTCGTCCTAGCTATAATCTCCAGCTATTCAAGTGTAATGTCGATCGACATCTCCAGTTGCCTTGATCTATCCACTACCCTTCTCCTAACCCTTTCTTCTATCACTCCAATCTTACTCCAAATTTTCTGTAACCCATTGCGTCCTAGTGGCTTCTCGCCTTGCTTGGGGTGATTAAAAAAATAAAAATAACCTGCGAAGGGTTGATAATTCGTAAAAAAATGAATGGCATTCGAAAGCGATCCCATAATGGCTAATACGAGCGAAATATATCTTGCAAAATGATGATCTTTGACAAGAATTTGTTCTCGCTTATTAAAATTAGTTTTGCTTCTTACGAGAGGCAAAACGAATTTTTATTCTGTGTTCTGTTTTGTATGGCCAAATTAATACCATTTTTTTTTTTTGCATTCTCAATATTTCTTGTTTCTTGTTTTCCCGACTCTCAATAAACGGTATGAATTAATCATCCATTGTTTGCAAACATCCTGTTAATACTGCAATAAGCGTCAATTCATGAGTTCTAATAACGTGTGACAAACGCCGTTCATAAAACAAACAGACATTACTTGGTTTCGTCTGACATACAGCCTCACTGAATGCAGTATATGCCTGGCATGATTAATCATTTGGTATAAATTTGAACTCGAAAGAGGTAAACGCTGAGGTCAATCAAGGAAAAGAAATACGTTGCAGACTGCTCTTGTGTGCCAAACAGACAATTTTTCGGTCGACCCCGCTATAGGAGCGATCCATCACTGACAATTCGACATCACATGCAGTTCTCATATTTTCGTGAAGGCCCAGGCGGATAGAACAAAGTTTAGTTTACCCAGAATCCTTTTCTATCTGCTTGCCATCTTTAAACTATTTTCTAGTATTGACTATTATTAGAACCATCCAAACGGACGCTCTCTTCGCAGTGTTCATTTATTATATATAATTTCAGACAATTGTTTATAGCAGATGTTGCCGTGACACGTATAGACGAGTGGCAGTATAATGGTTAGTAAGCTAGACTACAAATCCCCTGTTACGCGTTCGATCCTTGCTGGATGCCTCACTAATGTATACTTGACTTAATAATAAGCTTCTTTATTTGCCGTGTCTCCTCAGGATGTAGGCGATCATGGCCCTTCACAACTTCCTGCACCTTACAGCTCTTAATAAATTTTGTCTCTCTGTTATTTCTCCTAAACCCTGTTCCGCCATCTATTTACTCAAGCTCACTAAGTATGTAACATATTGTTTTCCTCTGTCTCTTTTGAATTCAGTCTGTTCTGTGAGTATCATATTTTCCAAGCCTTTTTTCCTCATTATGAGACCTAGAAACGTCAACTGCCTCTTCCTGATGTTAAATATTAGTTTACTTTCTGTTTCCATTTTCTCTAAAATTTCATCTAGGCTCACAGGTTCAGTCCATGGTATACTCAGCATCTTTCTGTAGAATCATATTTCTATTGCATCAGGTCTTTTTTTAATCTTTAATGGGATTGCGCAACATTCACTGCCATACAGGAGGATAGATATTACATAACACTTTCGTACCCTTTTGTTTGGTTCCAGCCATGCCTTTTTTTCTATTTCTTAGGCTACACAGGATTTGTTTTCTATTTGTGGCTAAACAAGATTTTTAAATACAGAGTTGTTCTTGTTCTAGACTAGTTGCCAGCAAAGGCTGTATGATGAATGATAGAACGTTAGTCTTCTCTGCTGGGTGAACGCTCTGAAGAATAATTGGGTTCATACTTTTCCGAACGAATGCATATTTACCTATCCCAATGCGTCTACGGAATATCAGTCTCACATTTTCTGGCCTTAAAACACCAAGTTTAAAAGCTACTATGAAACTTTCCTATGGTCTACATACTACCTCGAGGTTGGCAATTAGGATTAGCTACATTCAGGGGAGATCAAAAAGTTCGTTTCTTCACACTTAATTATTAACTAATTTTTTATCTGAAATCTTCGAGATATAGGGGTAAGGGAGGGCACCTCGAGGCGGTGTATGGATAGCAAGCTTACCTCGCTAAATTCATTACGACTGAATAGTCAGTTCTATCCTCGATGGATGCCCTCGAATTTCGGCCTTGTAAAATTGATTAATCCATTTTGAAGTTGATCCATCCAATTTGAAGTTGATTGTTCCATTTTGAAGTTGATTAATTTTTTTACTTGAAAATAAGTCCATTTTGAAGTTGAAAAGGTATAGATTAAATTCAAAATTATTTGATCATATGTTTGCTTTGCAATGAACATTTTTTAACTTTCCATTTTTAAAATATTGTAAATAATTTTATTGTAGTTGGCTCATAATTCGACTTTAACTCAAGTTGCATTATTTGTTTTTATTTTAAAATTTGACGACTCAAACAGGGTCGAGTCTTGCGCATCAGTGCCTGCTAATGAACATAGAAAATTGTGATTTTCCGGCCAGCTGAGGTATGAACATTTTTCTACATCCTTCGTATTTATTTAAAATTTAAATTTATTGTAATATGAGAGACGAGGCTTTCGAATACAATTAAAGGTCTGCTGTTACATTCTTCCACAAATCTTCTGATTCACCGTATCGAATGTCCACCAACCGGATATGAACGCTATGACAGCAAAACCACAATTTAAAATGCGTCGCGTACGCAGGGCTTCACACATCACTTCCGCCCACACAACACAAGCATAATAATAATTATTATATATACAAGTTATAGCAAAGTTATTAACCAACTGGTTTTATGACAAGGCTTTCAATACATTAAAACGCCTGCCATTAAAATTGGTTAAAAAATTGTATTATACTAATTAAACAACGATTAATTTGGTTAAACATTTATAAAATTAACCTCTACATATTTGTATAATTTGGCTCTGTATTCTTGCAATTCGGCTCATTGTTGTACAAAACAGTAATTGTTTTTTTTTTTTTTTTTTTTAATTTAACTTGTAATTTTTATTCGTAGGAAAAAAGTTCGATGACGATGGATGCAAAACGAAGAGAGGTAAATGCTGAATGCCGAATTTTCCAAGATCCTTGAAAATTAGATTACTTCTGCATCACGCACAGCGGAAACCAGGTTTGTCTTATATGTCTAGAAAGCATTGCTATAAATAAGGTAGAAAATATTAGGCGACATTACGAGACGCACTATTGTGAAAATTTAGGAAATTTACTTCACAAGAAAGGAAAACAAACGTTATTTGTTAAAAAGAGAGAAGACGAAAATATGGTAAGAATAATTGCCAGTTATGAAGTCTATAAACGCATCGCTGAAAAGATGAAAAATTTACAGATGGCTATTTCCGCTTTTCAGATCTTTGAAGAATTTATTCAGTTAATTCCTATGAAGGAAACCGTAAACGAAGCATATATCTTTGAAGCTTTGTTGAAAATGATACCAGAAATCAAGTCTGATTTTTTTTAAGCTAATTGGCATCACAAAAAAGGCTTTGTTGCACTACTACAAAAACATATGAAAAGCTTTGATAACGCACTTAAACTTGTTAAAATTCATTTCATTATCCAAGAGACATTGTGCGCGAAGTTTCTGAAATTTAACAATTTTATGGATATTGTTGTGTGTCGTATCCTATCTCGTACATAAAATAATCTTCAATTTAAACAGTTTTGCTAGATACTAAGCCAAAATATGATGACCTTGCTTACTTCTGCGATGTACACTGACTTAGCCGAGGGTCAATGCTAAACAGAGTGCTTTCATTGCACAAAGAGATGGCGATATTTCTCTAAATCAAACGTAGATAGTTCACATTTTCGAGACCCTGATAGGCTTTCGACTTTGTTAATTATTGTAGATATTGTGATTCATTTAAATTTCAAGGTAAACCTCAGCTCGTAAATAAAATATGTAACCCTATTGTTGCCTTTGAAAAAAGCTACTGTTGTGGAAACATCAACTTCGAAATAAAAATCATGTGCATTTTCCATCATGTCAATCTACACGATTCAGAGGTATTTGTGAATGTAATCCAGGATTTGAGAAAGGAATTTGCATCACGATTTGCTGACTTTTGTCTTCTTGCAAAAAAGTTTAAATTGTTCGCGCTACCATTTGGTGTGGAGTTGTAGATTGAAACATTATATTTTCAAATGGAATTGATTGATATGCAAATTTTATTGAGATCTCAATTTTATTCTAAAGAGGTTTCATTGATTTCTAAACAAAATATATTTTTCCAATTGGAAAGCATAGCAACTTGGTGAA